TAGGAGCGTGGACAATCTACAAATACAACAATCCATTTAGCGGGTCAAACCATCCATTAGATCAAGGTGAATCCCTAACCCTATTTAGAAACACAGAGCTTTTTAGCTTTTTTGAAAGCGACTTTTAAGCCAAACGAAGAGTCTCCCAAAATTTATGTTCATTTAATCTACCGATGTTTAAAATTTGGTAGGATTTGATTGATCGAATCGAGAGAACAAGATGAAAACCCTATTATAGGGTTCTTTCATAACGTGTCATAGGAGTACATTTTCTGGACCGTTGATCGCGCGATCAATGGCCCACATTGCGAGCGCTGACGCGGTTAAGTTAAAATTGCGTTCACCGCCGCCGTCCATCGGCATTAATGGACAATGATTGATTTCTCCACGTGGCAAATGTTGTCGTGGTTTGGGGGACAAACCCGAGACCAACACGTGGAAAACCAACAGCCGCTGCTGTTTTATTTATTTAAAATGATTTTAAATTTGTTTTAATGTTTTTAAATTTAGATTAATTTAAATAATTATTTAAAAATAATTTTAAACTCATATAATTAATGATTATTTTTAAATGTTAATTACTTTAAATTATTTTAAAATACTATTTTATTACATTAAATTTTGAAATTTTATATCTTTTTTTTTATTTTAAACCCGCTTTTGATGTATGATACCTCATATTTTTAAGAAAAATATGTATTTTAATTTAAAAATATTTTTAGATATCAAATTTTATTTTTCTTGCATATTTCTGTATTAATTAACTATTTGGATATTTGAATATTATATATTATTTAAATAATTAATATAATAATTTTTTTAAAAATTAAAAATTATTTTCAAAGCTCTTTTTATCCTTGCTTTGGTGGCCAGTGGATATCCCCTATAGTTAAGTATTCCTTCTAATTGAAATACATTTTAGTAGATTATTTTCTAAAATTCCTATATTTATGAGTATTTTAAATATTTTAAAATTACCTACATAATTAAATATCTAAGTTTTGGAAGATCCACTACTTAAAATTTTAAACATAGTCTTTGCATGTGATAGCATTGATGGGGATGAGGATTAGAGGGTGGTTGAGTCCCAATCATTTACTAATCGCTTCGATAAGTATGCTTAATTATCTGTTTTATCATTTTTTTACATGCATAGGATGCACGAGCACTTAGCATAGGCGCTCCTATATCTCAGGGTTCGTGTGTTTACTATTTTTTTATGCCTTCCATTTATGCTATCAAAGGGTTAGTCCAAAACTTTATTTTAAATCCATTCAACATAGCGACACTCTAAGGACAATAATTAATGACTCGTATAGCGAATTTAGACAAATTTTGTAGTTAGTGATATTATAAACCTTCAAGAATTTTCTAGAAATTTTTAGGAGCTTTTAAATCCCTTAATTAACTAACCCTAATTTATCCGTTAATTAGGTCCCATTAACTTCAAAAAATTCTAATAAATACATTTCAACTCAGAAAATTACCCATAATAGCATAAACTCTCCATAATTCATCCCTTAACCTTAGATAATTAGGGTCCCTCAATTGGACCTTAATCAGAGCCCAAATTTAACTTTAACCAAAATTACCATTTTACCCTTATTAATTAATTTAAAATTATTAAAAATTTCAAATTTTTCCCAAACACTTGGGAACACTTCCTTATGTCATTTCTAACTTTTATAGGTGATTCTAATCAGTTTGGAGCTAATTTGGATCAAAACCCTAAAATAACCTCTATTTTTTTTTTTTGGAAGAGCAAAAAAAATTGCATTATAAACTAGAAAAGAGGAAACAAAAAGAGTAATAGCATGCTAAATGCAAGCTGCGGATTCCTCCATCAAAATATTGACAAATGACGGAGGAACCATGTCCAAAAGTAAATCTTCCCACCAAAAAGAAGAAAAAACCCCAAAGTTAGCTCAAAGATCCGCTAACTTATTACAATTTCTCTTAATGCAATTAAAAAAAAACAAAGTTCAAATCAAAAATAAAGGAAAACTTATCATTACCTCTTCTTCCTTTATTGAGAGCTTTGTGAATGAGCTTGATGATATTTGCATTGTCACTCTCTATAATGATACCTTTGTAATCATATCTCCATTTATTGATAACATCTTGAATGGATATTATTGCTAGAAGTTCCAGATAATTAATATCCCAATGAATATGAGGATAGACGAAAGCTGCAATCAGCCGACCTTTGTGATCTCTGACTACTACTCCTATACCACCTTTATAAGAAGAATATAAATCCACATCAACATTTATCTTGATCCAATTGGGTGGAGGAGAGTACCAACGATCTTCTAACAGCATAAGCTGATAAGTACTCATCCGGCCCATAGAGGTATAATTGGTAGATTTAGAAGCTCCTACATAAGTAATAGCCTCCGCTGCAATGAAAATTGAGCTTCTTTCCTTCTTACCATGAACTAATTCATTTCTCTCTTTCCAAGTGAGATGAATAGCATTACATTATATATTGGAAATGAAAATATTTTGCTTTTCCAACCAATTTAAAGTATCTTCCTTGGATGAAAAATTGGAATACCAATTCCCCAATTATTTAGATGATGAATAACATCTATAATTTTCAAATAATTACAAACCACATGATCAATATTCTCCTCTACATTGCAACCTCTTGGGCAGTTCACTGTCCTTCCTATTCTTCTATAGGAAAGAAAAGCAAAAGTAGGCAAAGCATCATTTAATACTCTCCACCAGAAATTTTCAGCACGGGCATTCAACATAGAACTCTTTAGCCACTTACATCTATTAGACATAGGGGACTGTTGAACAATATAGTTAGCAGCAATAGAGGTAATAGTTTTACCTGATTCCATATGTGTAAGCTGTAATACTAGATCACTTGTGATTTGAATCATACAAATCAGTTTTATAAGTTCCAGCCCAAAGAATTTCTCCAATTCTGTCATATTCTAGTAACCATCTGTTATAAAATTATCCAGAGAATAGAAATATGTCATATCCACCTGAGAATTAACAAATGTCGGCCATCTATTGAGACTTTTATCAAAAATCCAGATGTCCTCCAGAACATTAACTGATTCGCCATTGGCAATTTCCCACCTCACAATTGGTTTTAGATGTTTGCTCCTGTCTTTAATAACCTTCCATACCACCGAAACAGATCTGTTTATGTTTCCAACACTACAAAAAGAACCGTATTTTGGAAATAATATTTTATGCAATAAAGAATCACCCTCTTTTAAGTATTTCCAAGCTAATTTAGCTCTAAGAGGACCAACTTTGTTGATACAAGAATGTAGCCCCCTACCATCGTTATCAACAGATTCACAAAGTTTTTTCCAGCTCACATAATGTAAGCTTTGCCCATTATTACTTTTATTCCAAATGAAATTACGACATAATTTTTCAATCTCTTCAAGGATTGATTTTGGAATTAAAGAAACAGTAGTATGAAAAGACAGAATGGAAAGAATAACCGATTTAACCAAGGTGATTTTGCCGGCTAGAGACAAAAATTTAGAACCCCAGCTATTCAACTTCTTCATAACATTATCAATAATGAATTAATAAACTGATATGGATAGTCTTCTCAAAGCTAATCTAGTGCCAAGATAACAGAATTTTTTCACTTCTTTATAGCCCAATATGTTTTTAATCTTCCTTTTCATCCTTGTGTTGACAGCTTTACCAAAAAGCAAACCAGATTTAGCTGTATTGACTTTTTGTCCAGTCCAATTGCAATACTTCTTAATGATTTTCTTAATCAACTTCACATTAGTGATTTTAGCTTCAACAAAAATAATTATATCATCATCATATAGGAGATGTGAGATTCTAGGACTATTGCTGCTAACCCGAACACCAATATTTTCCCTCTCCAAAATAGCATTTGAAAGTAGCTGTGAGCAGAGAATAAAAAGATACGGTGATAAGGGACATACTTGTCTAAAGTCACTACTAGCTTCAATCCAATTAAAAGGATTCTCGTTAATTAAAATAGCAAATGAAGGGTTCAACACACAACCCATAATCAGCTTAGAGAAGGATATTGGAAAACCAAAATATTCCAGCACTTTGCAAAGAGTCGGCCACTCCATGGAATCGTAGGCTTGTTCCATGTCTAACTTGATAGAAATCAATACCTTAGTAGCTTTAGAATGTCTGAACTTATGAAAACTCTTGGGCAATAAGAACGTGATCATGAAGCGCCCTTCTTTTGATAAAGGCCGCTTGCTCCAGAGAAATCGGTTTTGGGATAATATTGTTGATCCTGTTGAAAAGAACTTTGGAGATTAATTTATAAACCGTATTACAAAGACTAATAGGTCTGTAATGAGCTGTATATGTTGGATTATTGATTTTGGGAATCAACACAATGTGAGTTTTTTTCCAATTCTTATTCATATCAGCTGTAAGAAGGAATAGTTGAATTGCTTTCCATAAATCAGATTTAATAATGGGCCAGTAACTCTTAAAAAAGAATAAGAAACACCATCTTCTCCTGGAGCTGTGCAATCTGTAGTTCCTTTAAGAGCTTCTTCCACTTCCTCAATTGAAAATTCTTTACAAAGAAGCAATCTATCTTCCTCATCCAGATAATTTCTATTATCCGGCCAACTAGTAAGCATACAAGTTTTTTTAGACCATTTATTTTTGAAATAATGGATCAGAACTTCTTCAATCTCATTTTGATTTTCAAACTAATTCCCCAAATCATCCTTAAAGCTAGAAATGAAATTGACATTTTTCCTAGCACTAGCAAAAGAGTGAAAGAATTTAGAGTTTTGATCACCTTCGGTAATCCACTTCACTTTTGCCCGTTGTTTCCACCAGGTACTTAACCGAGCCGAAGTAGAGTTTAATTTGTCAATTTTGAATTTCAAAAAATAGATTTCATCAGAAGATATCAATCCATTCACAGCTTCCTTCTCTTGAAGTTGTAGAATCTCCCTCTTTAGAATATCCTTCAATTGTTCCAAGTTTTTGTGCTTTGCCTAGCTCTAAAAGTAAAAAGTTTTCAGAGTTCTTCTCATTTTAGTATTAAGGATATCAGAAGGTGAACCAACATCTTTCCTGTTCCAAACGTTATTCACCACAGAATATGATGCCGGGTAAGAAGCCAATATGTTCTCAAATTTGATAGAATTGCTGAGTTTAGGAGACGAACTGCTAAGATTCAAAAGAATAGGACAGTGATCAGATGCGATTCTAGGAAGATGCTTAACCACTAGAAGTTGGTTAGTATTGACAGAGTAAGAGTTAACAATCATCCTATCCAATCTTTCCATGAGCCGGTCCAGCCCTTTCTTATTATTACTCCAAGTAAACATAGGTCCCATGAATTTAAGTTCATAAAGATTATTAGAAGTCATAAAAGACTTCATATCTTTAGGCCCCGTAGACAATAGAAATCTTCTACCTCCCCTCTTCTCTTCTATAGCAAGCAAACAGTTAAAATCCCCATCAATGATTAAAGGAAAATCATTAGAAATGTGAGGTTCTAAACCTTTCCAAAGTTCTCTTCTTTTGTAAACTTGTTTACTTCCATAAGAAGTAGAAATCCTCCATTTACTAATGAGAGGAATATCCAGATCACCTATAATGAATTGTGAAGAGGTATCTATCACATTAAATGAAGCCAACCTGCTCTTCCACATGACCAAAATCCCTCCTGAAAGACCAGCTGAAGGAACATAACAAAATTCCCAACCAATTCCAATTAAAGATTCCACTTCCATATTGTCAATAAAAGACAATTTAGTTTCCAAAAGACCAACAAAAATAACTTTATGATCTTTAACAATCTCCTTAAGGTATAGAGAAGCCTTTTTTTTCTTGGCTCCTCTACAATTCCAAATCACTATGGAATTCATTTTTGGATAAGTGGGGAGAGACTCCCCCCTTTATCCTCATCACCATATGCTCTTCTGTTTCTTGTCATCAATTTTATTGGTCCAAGCCCTTTTAAATGTTTCAAACCCTTCTTCTTAGATGTAGTAGAAATCTCTCCCATATGTTTCTAAACAGCATTGGACAGATTAACATATTTTGTTTTTCTTCTGTAATATCATCCCTGCTGAAATTTTGTTTTTCTGGAAGTATCAATTCTTCATTATTCTCCTCCTCCTTTGAGAGATCTTTAAGGCTTCAAATTTGTTGGCGTTCTGTTTATTATCCTGAGACGGTCTGATAATTGTTTTGGATTTGAAAACATTACCACCATCATGATCTATATCTGAAACTATCAAAGAAGGCTTCATAGCACATGTATCCTCACCCGGTTTATCAGAATTAATTAAATTGAAATCAACCAGATCATTTGTAACTTCAACACGAATTTCTTTTGAACTTTTTCCTTCCTTATTGAAAAATCAAGTTTTGTTAATAGTTCCAGGAATTTTCTTCTTCTTGTTTTCAACCTGAATCCAAGGCCCATTTTCCTTTCCCTTGGATCCATTATCAGCAAAAGCTTTTGAAGCTGTTTCTTACATATTACTGTCTTCAATCAAAATTTCTTCATTAACCTGAATTCCCATATCTGGCTTTGAAGTAATACCTGTTATAACTTTTTTTGAACAATCTTCTTTGACATGTCCAAGCTTTCCACATGTAAAACAAAAGTGGGCAATCTCTCATACTCAATGTTTTGATAAAACTTTCCCAAGTTACCTTCAACCCAAACTCCCAAAGGTAAATTTTCAACAAGTTTAATACGCACACAAACTCTTGCATATTCCCTTCTACTCCATTGGAACATATTCCCATCAATCAAATAAGGAGTACCCACCTTGGAAGCAATTCTACATACGTTAACTTCGTCCCAACATTGAAGAGAGAGGTTGGGCATACGGATCCAGATAGGGACTGTGAGACCTTTAAACGAGGAGGGAGAAAAGGATGTTGTCCATTTATCCATTCCAACAATATTCCCATTCACATAATAGGGACCCGAGGCTATAATTTCTTCCAAACTATCAGGATTTTCGAAGGCACAAAGGACCCAGCCCAATCCAAGCTGAGTCAAATGAAATTTCCCAAATCTTCCCCATTGCCTTCTTAGTTCAAGGCTTATTACATGGAAAGGAATGTTATCTCCAAAAATTTTGATAACTAAGAATTTTTTTCAACTCTTTTTCAAAATGTAATTTAACCACACCATCTTCTTCCACAAAATCCTTACCAAAATTCAAATCAGAAACTTTGATATTTGCTTTCCTCTTCCATACATTTGTGCCAGCATTCACATTAACAAGTTTCTTTGAATTTTCAGCAACCTCAGAAATCATATCACAATTACCCAAAACTCCAGAATCGCATTCCCGAACAGTAACCAGGTCAGTAATTTGATCATTGCCTTCATGTTCCTTAGTAACTACCGCAGCTTCAACCAAAACTTGATCATCAGTAATCAGGTTGTTCATGTTTGAGTTCTGATCTACCTTTCACTTTATCATATTCTTATTAGCCGTATTAACAAAAGAAGTGGAAATGCAATTAGCAGATTGTATTGAAACATCACTCCGGGGTTTAGTGGTATCGTCACAGAATTCAGCAGACTTGAGATTAAACTCATCTTCAATTAAAATATTTTTGTCTTTACCAATACATTCAGGGGTCTTCTTCTTGATGACTCTACCACCTTCTGAAATTACCAGGGGGCGTTCCTTCATTGACCAGAAATTGAATTCTTTACCGTGACCGTTGACTCCAAAAGCTGGCGGAGACGACTCCGAACTGAGATGTGAAACAATCCTAGAAGAGGGAGTAGGTTGGCGAATTTTGAGGGGGCCACTGGCCAAAGGTGGCCGGCGATCCTCCGACACCATTGACGACGTTGCAGAAAACACGCATAGCAGGATTTCAAAAATCGTCAAAACCGGGAATTACGGACCTTCTCTCTCCTGAAAAGTTTAACTTCCACATCTTTTTTTTCAAAATAATCTCTAATTAAACAATTTTAATAATTTTCTAATTTCCCTAAAGCTTCCAAAATTCATAACTTTGCCTCGAAAACTCCAAATCCAGTAAACTCAAAGCCTAATTACTCCTCTTAAAGCTTAATATTTAATTAAAATGATAGAACTCATAGACCTAGTTCATTCCCAATAGTGACCTATTGGACCTCCTTAGCCTAGCATATGGGAGGACCCGAGACTTTTCAAAATTGGCTAATACGACTTACACTTCAAATATCACTACCCTAAGAATTAAAATTGATCAACAAACTAAATTAACTAAAAATAAATCCCAATATATTAATATTTGAATCTTAAGTAAATTTTTCTTTTCAGACCTTCAACAAATCTAAACTCTAGACAACTTGAACTAACTACACCACATATGACATATTAAAAGCCACACAAGCCTACTACACACATATAGATTTGTTAGGGCACCACTTCTAGCTCTAGGATTAGGGCAAGTGTTTTCTTTTTCTGCTTCTATGATGTGATACTTTCGTATGTGGACGATCTACCTTAAGACAAAGACTTAAAGAAAAAATGCCTGACTTTTAAGACTTGCGTCATTTAGTAGGATTAGAATCCAGGTTATTGTTGGTGGAGCCTGACTACCACTATTTTTCTGCAGACCCTAGATTGTACTTATATGACACTTGTCATGGACTTTCTTTATTTTACTGTGTTGAATTTATATTAATGTGTTTACATTATTTGTGCAGTAGAAATTTCAAGCTTTTTCTAGGTTTCTTTTCTTGCATGTGCTTGATCTGATTTACGCCAAACCCTTTAGGATAAAAATATTTTCTACTCGTAATTAAAAATTAATATTTAAAAGTTTAAATAATTTAAAAACCTAACAACTTAGGGAATAGCCGGAACTGTTTGGGGTCACATGCATATTATTGCATATCCCTTTCCTTCTAATAAGACACCTCCCCATCTGCAATTAGAGACCAAATAATCTGGCCTATGAGTATGAAGTGCCGGATATGAGGAAGCCCAGTCTTTTTTAAAAATTATTTTAATATAAGTATATTTTTTAAAAATCTTATGCATTCATGATTTAAATCTTTTAACAGTATGCATTGCATTAGAAACCAATTAAACTAAAAATTTAATTGCATTAGCTCTAGAACCATTCACCCTACATAAATCTAGGACCAATTAGAAAACTCTCTAATTTTCGGCCCTACTTCCAAAACACCAAACCACCTACCTATCTTTCATAAAGACTGGACTACATGGATTTGAAGCGATTAGGTGGTTAATTGGCATCCCTTTTTAGGAAGGGTATAAGCCCAGGTGCATTAGTTAGGACATGGGTATTAGTGTTGGGTAGAACACTAATCTCACCTTAGATCTAGGATTCAAGTATACTATATTAGGTGTCTCGTAGTATGCCTAAATTGTGGGTAAGTTCCTTCTTTTCGAGGGCTATAAATCCTACTAATCTACGCCACATAGATGACGTCACTTCTATCTTTTCCCTTTGTATGATTTGAGTGTGTGATTCTCTTTCTCTTCTTACTATCTTAGTCCATCCGGATGTTGGTATGAACCCCGCATGTTGACTAAATTGAGTTGAGCTCTTTCTTTCCCTTTAAGTAGGATTTTCTAGTCTCCCCCTTTCGTGCCAATCCCCTTTATGGAAAAAATAATATTGGATCCTTAATTGAGAGTTTTTTCAAGCTCCGACCTAAGATGTAATTAATCATGGGGATTGCGCCCTGTGGGAGAAAGAACTCCATCATAAAAAAAAACCCCACTTGAGCAGATGTATCGGGTAGAGAAAACCTATTATTTCGATCATGTCGTATATATTACTAACTATCGGGGTGCGCTGGTGAAAGTCACTATCCTCAATAGTTAGTCGTATGTGTGATCTAATATGCCCTTCTATTGTCTTATTTGCGAGGAGCGCGGAGGCGCGCGATCATCTCTATCCCTCGGGGTGATGTGGTCGTATAGGAACGAGCGATGTCCTTTCGGAGGTCCACAAGAAGCATTATCAAACTTGCGGCTGAAAACCGTCAATGATCGCCTTCTTTACTTCATGGTTAATGCTCCCCTTAATGGATTCTTTCTATAGGTGGCTTGCTTGGAAGAAAGGAAATATGAACATGCCATACATAATGAAAGATGTACCATATTGGATACGAAGCTCTCCATAGGAACGAGCCCTATACGAGAAAGAGTTCTTAACTGAAATGGGAAAACCACATCCTCCATGGCGGAAAGAGTGAAGTCAAGCTATCTCTCTCTTTAATGATTGTCATGTGTACCACCTTACGAAAAAGGGATCGCTTATATTGAGCAATGGAAGAGTAGAGGGAGAAAATAATTAAGATAGAGATGTGGTTTTCCTTTGACCAATTAGAGGAACTCTTTCCCAAGAGAGATAGCATTAAAGAGGTTTCTTCATCAATTTCTAAATTGTCTTCTTCGCTTATCATTATTGCATGTGTACCTTCATAAGTATATTGAATAAAACGTTCATGCATGTTGGCTCTCAAAAAAGCAAAACTCTTCAAACCATTACACTTAAAAATCTCAAATTTCATAATAATCAATCTACGAACAATATTTTCATATAATTTTTTTTGTAATAAGAACAGAATAAATCATATCAAGATTTATGTGGTTTGACTTCAACTAAACCTATGCCTATAGGAGAGGAGATTGGATCTAATCTACAAGAAACACAGGAGCAACAAAGTTGTGCACAAGAAAGAAGCACTCGCCAACTCTTTCCAAATCTATAGTATCTCAATCAAGAAAGAACCTCAACAAATTCTAAAGATAAAGGTTACCAAAAGATGACGTCCTTTCCTTGCATGCATATTTGAAAGCATCAATCCTCCAAGAAATTCAATCCATTAAGAGTGTATATCAATGGAGATTTTTTTTTTCAA